GCCTCCCATATCCCCCATCCCAACGCGACCTTTTCCTTACAGTGAGGAAAGGACACGTGTATGCGAGTGGGACGTACGAGAAGCCGTTGCACAAATCGGCGGGCAGTATTACTTCCCTCCGGCAAWYCGTTGTTCTGGATTCGTAGAAGYCGGATTTGTAATTATCGATACGCACTTCCCACCGTACTCGGTATTGTTGTCATTCAACGAATTGATCGTCATTCCGTGAACGGCAGTAGAACCCCACTGGCCGCGCACTCTGTGCACCGAATGTCACCGTTTTGAGCACTACGAGTCCAGGGGTTTTCACTACCGTGTGCAGAGCGAAGACGAGCATAAAGAAAAAGCCACGCGGCTGAGACCCTCCATGTCAGACTCGGAACTAACCAGCGAACGACGACGAGACTTGGTATGAAAACGAGACACGCGAAGCGTGCCCAAGCCTTTCTGTTCTAAGCGACAGGCTGTAGCCCGGTGGGAGGCGCGACAATACTTTTTGGGTTGAATTTGGATCTTTCCCTCTCTTCCCGCTTTGCCCGTGCGCGCATTCCGCGACGCGCGAAAACAATCGACTTGCTCCATCGGACCAACACGGGGGATTTCAGTTCCGCCTGYGTCCCCACACTCAATTTCCAAAAATCCTTGGCACACCCCATCTTGCTGTTTTTCTGGGCCTCTTTTCGCACAGCTAGCACTCTGAACGGAAGACAGCACAGGGCGTGAGGTTGCGCGTCACAGGTATACGGAGGCCGTGGTGTCCACTACTGTCCACTGTACAATTTTTCGGACATTTCTTGGACAGTTGTCAGAGCGAAAAATTGTACAGCGGACAGTGGAAAATGCGACATCGCTCCACTTACTGTCCGCTGAACACCTCTCAAATTCGTGATTTCACTACGGACGCAGAGATAGAACTACAAGACAGGGCTTCCAAAGGATTTTGTCCGCCCGGACTCTAGGTTCACTGTCCAAATTCGGGTCCTCACGGTGAGTCCCTTTCGGACCAAGATTCTGGGTCTCGCTCCACTACTGTACACTGTACAAAAACGGACAGTGGTACTTCGCTCCACTTACTGTCCACTGTACATGTGCAAAATGGCTTGGACAGTTTTTAGAAACCCCGTCGAAAATCTACTGTCCGTGAATGTACAGCTCCCAGCCTGCAACATTCGTTGAGTGGAAAGTCCTTCAAGGGACTCACCGTGAGGACCCGAATTCGGACAGTGAAGTGAACCTAGAGTCCGGGCGGACAAAATCCTTTGGACGCCCTGTCTTGTAGTTCTATCTCTGCGTCCGTAGTGAACTCACGAATTTGAGAGGTGGACAGCGGACAGTAAGTGGGGCGATGTCGCATTTTCCACTGTCTGCTGTACAATTTTTCGCTCTGACAACTGTCCAAGAAATGTCGGAAAAATTATACAGTGGACAGTAGTGGAGCGAGACCCTCTGACATCAACGGTTCTGTGGCGATTGGCGACGCCTAGGAAGAAGAATCCCGAATCAATATGTGATATCTTAATTTCTTTGTTTGGCTCTAGTCCGAGCGTATTTAGAAAGGTCGATGAACGAAGTCACGTTCTCCAGGTGTGGGGGATGGAGAGTAGTGTAACRAGGCCCTAAGTGGGGAGATGGCAGGATTTTGGACGTTTTCAAAAGTCTGACAGCTCTTGAAACACTCTTGCTTTTTTTCATGAGTCAAGAGTAGTGCAGCGAGGATGGGCCTCGCTGCACTACTCTTGAAACGATCATTTACATGAGCGTGCCACCGCTGCACTTCTCGCTCCACCACTGTCCGCTATACAGAATTTCGGAGAGTTYGTGCATAGCTGTCAGAGTACCAAAAAACGGAGATTTCGTGTATAGTCTGCGCCGGCGCTCCACTTACTATCCGCTATACAGCTCTCCGATTCCTGAGTTCACTACAAAACACCCTAAGAGCACTACAAGACAGCAGTTTGT